TTCATGATAATTTTAATTGATTTTAATTGTATGACGTATAACAAAAATTAATTTTAATTAATTTTTCGGTAGGCCTGACATTTAAACTTATTTCATAAAAATAGTCAAAATTCCGAATCGGAATCGCAGTTGGTGGAGCTGAAATTACCTCATTTTTTTACTAATGAAACATAACTATTTATTAAGCAAAATGCCTAACTAATAATTTTGTTATAGACGCAGTCGGTCGGCATTGCTATAATGCCGTCGGTGAATTCCAACCCGAATGTTGGTGATTGCTTATTGTCCCAGTCTATTTTATTGGTTCCAAAAATGGTCCTTAATCATTTGGATAGCCGAGAAAATTAAATCATATGACGCAAGCAATTTTAATTATTCGGGTCCAAAGTACGAATAAACGTAAGGCCTATTACCGGTCCTATTCGGTCTTTCCAGGATTAATAAGTTAAAAAAAAAAAGCCCCATCCAATCCTCGTCAGTTCTAAGTAAATTAAAAATGAATGTTGACGCGTTTATTCTCGAATTGTTATTATATTTCATGTACAAGTTGAGAATTGTTCGACTTTAAAACTTAATAATGATAGAAAACCCGTTCTTAGATTTTCTAAAGGATTTTTGAGAATTATCAATTTTATTTTTGAGAAAAATCAAATCATGCCACTATGCACAATTTTCATGACCATTTTGGTCTCTTAATTTCCCTATCATGCATGATATCCTCATCAAGATTCTTCTGATCGGTCTCAAACTCTGACTCCACATGAATGCGGCTTGGAGATACAATAGCACTATAAATAAATTATTAGTTTCTATATGTCCATAATGAAAACAAAGTCAAAAGTTTGCTTACCTAGATGGTCTGTTATAAACAATTTCGTTAAGCTTCATTCCAACTTTTTGTTCTAAGAGTCTATCAGTTCTATTATTGACTGTTAAAAAATTATTGTTTCGATTGTTAGGAGAAAGTTCATAACTAAAGATATTTGGATTTTGAACCAATGGCCGCCTTTTCGGTGAGTTGATTTGATTATAAAATTTTAAATTTTCTTCAATGCAATTATTTTTTTCTGGTAATCGATTAGAACTTTCATTTACATCTTTTAAACTTGTGGTGAGGTTCTCATTAGACATTTCAATACCAGTACCTATGACAATTATAAAACATATTTTGCTCAGTTTGTTGAATTGATTTTACTAACAGCCGTATTGGGTTTAGAAATAGCATGTTATGTCAATATGTGATAAAGTTCTTTAAAGTATTATTACCATTTTTGGCTACTAGTTGACATGGTGATTGTTCTTGTTCAAGTAATAAATTGGCATCACTAATTTGAAAGGATTATTATAATTATCCAGTATGATACTATAATTTTACGCATTTGTTAAAAACAGAATACACGTACATATCATCTCCAGGATCGGTTAGGAATTCCGCAAAGAAAGAATCCATTTTACTATCCAATGCTAAGATTAAGCAAAATGTTAATATTTCATGTGAGAATAGTATTTAATTCTTGGATATAGACAATTTTACCTGCGAATTGAGCCAAAATTGCCGATCGAGTTAGATGGTCATCTAAAATAAACTTAATATTATTTATTTTATCTATGTAAAACTAGACTAAAAATGAATTATGAATTTTGTACCGATTGTTGTCGTTGATCTTATAGAGTTATCTTCATTTTGAACAACTTTTTGTTTTGTGTTGGATGGTGGCGTATGCTTTGAAATATTTTGTTCATCATTTGACATCAATGTAGTCGTGGTCATATTCAATTGGTTATTCATTGGATAATTTTCTTTTCCCATGGGAGCCACAGATTCATTTATTGGAGGAGTCAAATTCGATACGGGTTTTAGTGTATTTTCTCTATTCATCATGATAGCAGATGCATTACTTAAGATTTGTGATGTACTCTTCAAACTTTGATTAGTTGAGATGGATGTGATTCTTTGATTTGGAGATTGATTCGTAAGCTTGGTACTATCCTGGGGTTGTAAATTTTTATTGTTATAGATTTTATCCATCGAATGTTGTGATGTATATTCAACAGACTTGTCAGTTACGATTTTACTAGATGTATCTCCAGTTTTAGTGGTTTTGGAGATAAAATCTGGATTACGATACAACTTGTCCACATTAAATTGTGGCTATGAATAATGGAATGATAATTAAATATTATTTACATATAATATGTTTTTAGTATACTGGAAATGATGAATACTTACCGGCGAAACCTTTATCTTAACAATTTCGGAGGCATATTTTTTGTCATACACACAATTACCCGTTGCGTTGCCAAATGTTCGTAGGGTACGCTTAAGCGCATCTGTCATTGCTTCTTTCTTGGCCTTTATAGACAAAAATAGAATATTACCATGACTAGTCACTGAAAATTAATGAGCTATACATTTTTTATCTAGAAATACCTTCTCGAATGCGGCGGCCTTACTCTTTGAGTTCTCACAGATGCCGTAACCCAAATCCTAGTGATTGGTTCATTAGTTTGTCACGTTATTTACTGCGTACCGCAGCCTTTATTCAATGTTTACCTCATGATATGTACCGTCCTTGAGAGTTACTCTGCACGTTACTGATATACCAACCGAAACTTTTCCTGTATCTTGTGAGGTTTCAACCTATCATATTGAAATATACAGTCGATATCGGAACTTACTACAAATTATGACACGATAGGATTACTTACAAAGTCGATAGTGATATCCTGAATACTGGATGACCATCCATTAAAACCAAAGATAGTATTGGCTAAATTTATCAACTTCCATCCCTCGATATATACCAATCTCCCAGCTATTTATTAGTTGTAAAAGAACGTGTCAAAAATATCTCATTTCATTCTAATTGAAGTTGAACGCAACTTAATGCTCAACGAATTTTCTATATTAATGTTCAATTCAGCTCAAAAAGATGCGTCCTATACTTAATACTAACCACCAGCTGGTCCTTGTCTTGTACTAATATATTCGGGTCCTAGTTGTTTGTTTAATTTTTCTCTAATCTCCTCAAACTCTTCTAAGGTATAAGAAGTACCCGAGAATGTAGAAGATAGATTCTCGTCTTGTAACATTTGTTTTTGTAATGTCGGTCGTCTTTGATGTCCAAGGTTAGGTTGCATGCTAAGAGGTGAGAGAAATACCGAGAAATTTACGGTTGATCGAATTACTGATCGAACATAAATAATTGATTATGTCTATCATTAACGTCTACGTTAGAAATATAAACAATGGCTATTTTTGGAAAACAAACCATCAGCACCCTCAATTGGTATTATTTTTAATGATCTACACTATCCGCTATTTATACTAGTGATTTTGGTCGATAGTGAAAAAAATCGGCTATCGACTTAGCCGGTCGATTTTTTTAAAATCGGCTTATGGATTTGGTATAGTCATTACGAAATTTCCTATGTAGAAAATGAATGAACCCAAATACGAGCAAGGTTGAAACCAAAAATTTTTGTAAATAATTTTTGTAAATTTCGAAAAATTCCAGATTAATGAACAAAATTAAATAGTACTGTAGGTTCGACCAAGCCGACTAAGCCGATAAAATTTATCGAGATCACTAATTTATATGTAGAGTAAACTTAGTGATTATCATATGCAGTATACGTAGCAAATTAGCATATTTACAGCTATCTATCTAATCGACAGTATATAACATCACACAAATTTTTAGAACAAATGAATCATTTAGAGCAATTTTTAAAGATTTAAAATATTTAAGCAATTTATCATATTTGCATAACTGCTAATATGTTGTACCTCGATTTCCTAATGCAAATGCACTATCTAAATTAGCATAATTTATTTAAATCTTCTTTATATTTACCCATCATGAGATAATGTCTTAATGCAAAAGCATTATCATTATATGATTTATTTTTAATGATTAATATAAGTCTGCAAACGCTTCATCATATCCACTCATAATGCACCACGTCTTATTAAGACAGATGAATTATTCAATTAAATCTAAAGGCAAATCTTCATATCTATTCATAATAAGATGTGTTTCACTACATTTTAAGGTGCTGGTATTGTCCGTGTAATTCTGCATATCTTTTTATAATGCGATAAGTTGTTCCTCGATTTCTTTGTGCGTTTGCACTATTTGAATCGATTTTTAATGATACATTTAAATCTGTTAATGAATCCTCATATCTATTTATCATATAAGATGTTAGCACCTTATATCGATATGATTGTTAAAGTTACTTTGAACCAAAATCCGTAACAATTGAGCTTTAATGGCCCAAACAAATATTTATTTTCACGGTAATGCTAATAGACCAGTTTTTATGCTAGTGTATATTAATAGTTGACTAAGCCGGAATATGGTTTCAGGAATATAATTTTTTAATATTATTAGAAATAAAAAAAACTTTGTATAAAGAAACTAATTTTTTTAATTTAATTTACAAATGCAAATACACTATACTACACTATTAATCAACTACTATAATTTAAAAATACCAATTTAACAATAAAATAAATAAAATACTAAACAACTAAATATCTAGATTCACAAAAAACTAGTATCTAACAAATTAATTTCTATTAATTTAATATATAAGATATAAAGATATTAAGATCTATTTAATTAAACAGTAATAAAAAATTCTTTAATAAGTAAAATTTAAGTTTTTCATCTTTTTAATATATTTTAGTTGTTTTTTTCTGACATTTAGCATTTATATATGAATTTTATAATAATTAATAGTAAAATATTTGTTTCTAAATAGAATTTTCTAAATTACTAATTATTTCCAATTATTGTCGAATAGTAAATATTAACTTTCTTTTGTATACTAAATTGTTTTGATCTATAAGACAAAAATGTACCTTATTGCTAACTTTTAGATTATTTAATTTTTTCTTAAATTATAGTATAGAATATAAAATATAATTTTAAAATTTATTTAACCAATTAACTAACCTTTAAGATTACCTAATCTAACTACAAAATACACACATCTTCAAAGAGCTTACACTTATTCATGTCTTTACAGACTTCTTAATTAATTACATTCTTATTTAAACATATGCTTTTTTATTAGTTAAGCAATTTGTAAAATTAACATTTGGTCTATTTTATAGATCAAATATAATATGTTTTTAAATTATATACTAAATATTCAAATATAGATGAACTTTGACTACTTTAGTAAATTTAGATTATAGATAAACTAGTTTAAGCTTTTATTCTTGCATGTAAGTTTTAATTTATTTGTTTTATACAAATAGTAATAACTATATAGTTAGCAGTTTAATGATTAATCCTAACTTTAAGTATTGTTTTTAACTATAATATATATATAACTATTTTAAATTATTAATAAAGATATAAGCAAGACCTTATTTTAAAAAAAAATTTTTTTTTGCTTTTGTTAAGACTGTTGGTTATTGTTAACTACTGTCTTTATTGTAATTTAATTATAGTTATATAACTTATATAAGGTAAGTATGCAACTAGTTATATATACAGTTTTGACTATCTATTTAAGTAGTCTACTTACAGATTCTACACTAACTGTTATACCTGTAATTTGCTAGAAAATTATTTAATTAAATACTCTGATCCTTATACTACACTTAACAGATAATCACAAGTTTTTGTATATTTAAATGCTATCTAACCTAATCAAAAAAATAAAAATATAAAAAATTTTAAAATTTATATACTATATTTTTTAAAAATTTATTTTATAACAAACAATTTATTCAAAATTAGCTGTTATTAGTATTATAAATTTAAAAAATATTTATTAATACAAGTGCATATTATATAAAAATAACATATATACAAAATAAGGATGTGGCGACCTAGTAAAGTGGTCAGGTTGTCAACCCCCAAGTGGCAGGTCTAGAGTTCAAATCCCATGGATGACGAATTTTGGAAAATAAGG